CTGCGCATATAATCATGATTTGCCGCCATAGAAGTCAATGGTATTCCAGCCCGAAGTGTTAAAACTCCAGTGACAAAAACGTCGTCTATCCAATAAAATTTAGCATCCTCAGAAACTTTGACTAACTTTGCACTGACGTCTGGGGTTGTAATGTAAGCAAACCCTTCACAAAATTGAGGGTATTTCGTAAACGGATATTCGGATTTTGTCATTGACCATTTACTTTGATTATTCCTATGAGGACCTTCATACCATAAAGCGTTACAGTACAGAAAGTTTTTCATTGGCTTTTTATGAGTGTTTAGGTATTTCATCATATTGTAAACATTCACCACTATATCGTCGTCCACCTTCAAAATATACCTCACATCTGGGCAATTTTCAATGATCCATGAATGGCTCATAATATGTTTGTATGTAAGGTTTTTGTAAGAGTCATCAAAATCGCCTTGCACCATATCATTATACTTCTTAGCCTCCCGCTCAATAACTGGTTGTAAAGCTCTGTTCGTTGGTTTCCCTAACATGAAAAGAGTTCTAAAGTTTTGCACTCTCGAGCCTTTGTATCCACCCCAAGTTGTTCGGATCTGATTTCGCTGTTGCCAGTGGTCCGCAGAGCTGTGAACGAAGGCCACTACAAATACATTTTGTTGGCATTTATCCGAGTTGATGAGATAATTGAATTGATGAAGGTTTAGCAGTGGATCGCGATGATCTGATTTTGAAAGTTGAAAATACTTTGAGATGTTTCTATACGTCTCCTTTAAAATGTTTGCAGCATTATCAGCAGCATGAGTCGCATTCTTTGGCGTTTGAGTCTGAACCACCCGATTTGGCTTTTTCTTACCCCTCTTTGGCGCCTGAACAGCTTTCTGTGGCGTTTGCGTCCTCAATTTTGATGTCTGAACTACCTTTTTTGAAGTTTGGACAACTTGTATGTTGTGCAGAATGGAGGCTGGTTCAACGAACGATTGAACATCTCCTACTCTTTCTACATGTGGCACAATTTGATATCTTACAACGAAATTCTTCAAAACAAATATATAAATCTTGCCTGAAATGGCAATGCATAGCAATAACATGACAAGTCGTAATGTCTTTGAACATAGAATCGGTGTACGAAACCATTTCATGGTGCCTAATATATATGCCTAATGCCTTGATATATCTAAATCAGAGAGCGGTTCTGGTAAATATAATTTATGTTACTATTTTATAGTTCTATGAAAGATTCAATTTCTGGTTCGGTAAGTATACCAATTAAATGCAACAATTAAATATAACACTAGCAGATCTACAGCGCAACACTTACTGAACCTTGTTGCACAAATTCATAAATCTGTTAGCACTAATATATAAACTTCAGTTCAATGTCTTATCCTTGCCGATGTACATATTTCTAAAATATATTGAGCCACACTTAAAATTCACAATAGAATTCACGATAATGGTTGTATATCCGTAACGCACATCCGTAGCGGAGGATGAGACTTTATTTCTGAATTTCACAAGTTTGTGTTAATGGAAAACTAAATGATGCACACACGACACTGACTAATTTCACACAATCTTGATGGAATCATGTAGTGTATCCAACTCGAACAAAACTATAAAAAGGACTGTTTAATACACAATACGATCCCATCTTCACTTCAAAAGAGAACGTCATATTGCGCTTGTACCATCTGATTATTGATTATTATGTGGTTTTTGATCGATAGTTTCGAATGCTCTATATACTAAAGGCGCGGACACACGAGCGGTCTTGGTCGGAGATTTTTGTCGCATACGTGAGTCTTGTCAGGAGTTCCGCCGACTGGCACGGACACACGAGGAGACAAAATATTCAGTCGGTCGTTATCATGCCTGAATCTTCAAACTGTACCTGATGCGAGGGGAATTATGAATTTGACTGAAAAACGTAGAATGTGTGAGAATCAACTGAACTGGATTGGTGAAGATATATCAATTATAAGTTTTCACTCGGTTGAGTATGGATATTTGTTTCAAATGAAACATATCATAACAACTGCCTATATTCTAGTTGTGGGTTCTAACCAAGGTCGTCGAGTCATTGGAGTTAAGTGGAGGGGCCGAATGGGGACACCAATTAAGAAATTTTGAGCTAGAAAGAACGCGGGAAAACATTTTACCCGAAGAAAGATATGGTTTACACTCTATTGTGAAAGGAAAAATTACACTCAATAGGTGGTTGATAATACGAATTAAATATATTATCAGAATTGGTATGAGATTTTATAGCGTAAACAATAATAAAATAACATATGTGTATCTATTTAAACATCAGTAGACGAGGCTGATATGAGTTATTTTATAGATTTTTTAGAATCAAGCTGTGATAGATATATTTTGAATAGAAGTTTTCTTATTCCACAAATGTTCTACAATTTAGGACAGTTGTCAATATATATGCACAGATATCTCTTATTTCCGAAACTTGTATAATATCATAGGTATTATAATCACTGAATAAAATATTGTTTAAACCATGCTATATGCAACTGTATATTCAAGTACCCGGGCAGATTTTACAGGACACTAGTCAAGCTGGGGGAGGGAGGGTATTATTAGGTCATGTTCTTTTGGAATAAACTGGATTTGACTTGGAAACAGAATCATTGTGAGATTCTGGGAAACAAATGGTAAAACTTCCCGGCACCCCTAAACGTGAGCCTGTGACAAGGAACAATGGATATAAGACGAAGTTTTTAATATCTCGACATTGTACAAATGTTCTTGGAGCTTACATTTTGCAAATTTTTTCGCAGAGGTCCATCATAATGTAATATTGTTATTTTGGTAAAAGCCTCAAATAAATTTGGATTAGAACACTGTCAAACACAGTTCGTAATAGCTTGACATTGTGAAGACTTCCCACCTTCCAGACTAAATTGGCAAGCTCAATTTACATAAACACACTTTACATTGTCGAGTCTTACAACTTTTAGCTATTATCTTTCTGATCAAACTAATTCTCAGAATGCGACTCTGGGAAGATTGTGTTCCAATCTAGAACATCTTGGGTAACTATTTCTTGCTCTGTCTTCTGTGGGAATTCAATGGCACCAGTCGCAGGAACAATGGACACAGATTCGCGAGTTATCTTGGAAACTTCCACATCCTTGTGTATAGTCCTAATGTGTCTTTTTAAACTGTTGATACTCAGGACATGAACTTCACAAAATGGACACGTAAATTTCTCAGCAGTGGTCCTTCTTGCTTCGCTCGTCAAGTGAGTGCCGTTGAGATCTACTTTGTCAGGGTGACAACTTTCAAGATGACGTTTTAATCGCCCCATGACTATAGTAGGGCAATACGGACATGATATCTTCTGTTTCGGTGTACAGTCGTGGTTATTTAATAACTCTGGATCAATGAAAACAGTCAAACATTTTGAACAATGATAATGGGGGTTTACATTGCCATATTTTTCAGCATGATGTTTATAAGTATGAGATCGTGAAAAATGAATACCACACTCCGTGCAAAATCTTGGCGTTTCGCGACATGTTTTCTTATGAGCGTTGAACCAGCTTCGGGACTGAAATCCTTTTTTGCCACAAAATGGACATTCGTAGCCTCCTTTTGCAGTAACATCATGATCTTTACGATGGACATTACGAGCTGAAGCAAATCTAAATCCAATACCACAAAGATCACATTTATGAGGTTTGTCAGGTCTGTGAGACACCTTGTGTTTCTTCAAATAAGCTGCAGTAGTAAACCCTTTCCCACAAACATCACAAGTAAAGGACAATTCTGTGTTATGAGTGTTCTTATGAGCAGATAGAGTACTATACAGTCTAAAAGCCTTCCCACAAACAGCACATTTATAAGGTTGTTCTCCAGTATGTAAAGTTATATGTTCCTTGTATAGTATTTTAGTACGGAATGTTTTGTTACAAACTGTACAGGTAAATGGTCTCTCTCCTGTATGAACAGACATATGAGTTTTAAGAAGTGATTTATTCTGGAAAGTTTTACCACAAACTTCACAACAACAAGGTTTGGGAGAGTAAAATACTTTTTCTGGAAGTGAATCACATGTTTGACCTGGTGCTAAATGAGTTTGACGATGATTCTGATACTCTTCTACAGATAATAAAATCTTTGTGCAGTATTCACAACGATAAACACTATCATGGGTACTATAGTGTTTATTCAAACTGGTCTTTTGTCTAAATGATTTATCACACTTAGTGCATTGGAATCTTTTACCTTTGACATGTACAGATTTGTGACGTTTTAAATGAATGCTATCCACAAAGGACTTACCACAAACCTCACACATGTAAGGTTTAAGTCCAGAGTGTATTTTTTTGTGAACCTTTAGTGTTCCACCCTGTCTAAATGATTTATTACAGATGTCACATTTATACTTCTTCTCTCCAGTATGTATATACATGTGATTCATCAAGATCACTTTATTTCTTAAATATTTATCACATATCTTACACTGCACTCCTGAATCCGGTCTGTGGGTTGCTTTATGAATTTCCAAACCGTAAGCAGTACGCAGGCATTTCCCACAATCATCACATTCGTATACCACTTTATCATGAATTTTCATATGTTTTCTGATATCTCCCTGATTGTGAAAGGTTTTAAAGCAATCAGGACACTGATGAGGTTTAAATGGCTCGTGGATTACCTTATGTTTCTTTAGGTAATCCTTCTTAATAAATGACTTATTACAAACATCACAATTAAAGGTTTCACTTTCAGGATTCTTGGTGCTGGTGTCTGAGATTTCATTCCCATCCACAAGCTGTCCTTCTTCATTAACTGAACTTTCCATTTGTGGGCCTTTGGACTCTTTCCCTACAATAAGAGTATTTGTGCCTTGAATTTCTGTTGTTTTGGCAACCACTAATATGTCTTTGGTACCATTTGCATCTTCCTGCTGGTGGTGATTCAGCTTCCCTTCACCCTTGACTGAAGGTGTCTTAGGTGTTTGACAAACAAGGTTCTCCCATGTATCATCATTTGCTCCTGCATTAGTATCTTCCAAGCCATAATCATCAGCATTGTCACTTTCTATTTCCTGTTTTTCAACTAATAGCAGACAATCTGAATCTTTACTAGGTGCTGATTTGACCTGAGAAACAACCTCGTTCTTTTCCTGTGGCTTTAAGTGCAAAGTGGAATTTTCAATGCTTTCTGTAGTTTCTTTGGATTTTAGGATTGTTTTTGTGTGCTTCTTGTTTCCATGGGTTTTGTTTGGAGGAGGAATGACTATTTTCACCACTGGTTTCACAACTTTGGTGATCTGTTCTGGTTTTAAGGCTTCCTGCAATTATAAATATAAAACAAGAGCAGTCTATTTCAGGCCTATAAGATGGGTCTTTGTCTTATAAATTTTGGTGCAGGGTCAGTAACCACCTTCTCGTAGACATATTTTAAATTGTAAACTCACCTCTTTGTCTTGTAGTATTTTGATACAATTTTCTTTCAATATTGTACATTCCAGTTCTTCAGAAATCTTCAAATATTTCTCACAGTTTTCGTTGTTTAAAATTGAAGACAGAGCTTTCTGACATCTGAAACATAGTTGACATTGTAATAAAATACAGAGCATACAGCATAACAGCAGTCAGTATTCTTTTTCATTTTAATCCACCAAATGATCATAATTATGGCCCAATAAACACAAATGACAATATGCCACACCCACTTAATGAGTGACAGGTACAGCTAAATTGAAACATTAGCACATTTTTACGATGGATCAATGTTAATATAAGAATTATAATGGATTTTGTTACTAGCATACACAAATAATCATTTTTATTTCCTTCAGTGTTTATTTCCCCAAAATAGTAACAACATTCTCATCCATGTTACAGAATGTAAACAACAGGGAATATTCAGAGCTGATTGAATGCTGGACAAGTTTATCAAATTTTCCTTTTCAAAAGTCCAACCACTTACCTTATAAACAATGATTCTAATTTACAAATACTGGCAGCTTGCATCAATTCTATCAAAAAATCATCGTCTATTTTATGATGAAATTCAAATTCATCTGTATATACCCATTTTATCATAGCATAGGATACTTCATATCTCATATCTAGAAAATACAATATAGCATAGCATAGCATAGGATACTTCATATCTCATATCTAGAAAATACAATATAGCATAGCATAGCATATCTCATATCTAGAAAATACAATATAGCATAGCATACTTCATATCTAGAGAATACAATATAGCATAGCATCTCATATCTAGAAAATACAATATAGCATAGCATAGCATATCTCATATCTAGAAAATACAATATAGCATAGCATAGCATAGGATACTTCATATCTCATATCTAGAAAATACAATATAGCATAGCATAGCATATCTCATATCTAGAAAATACAATATAGCATAGCATACTTCATATCTAGAGAATACAATATAGCATAGCATATAGAACATATAGCATAGCATACTTCATATAGAAAATACAATATAGCATAGCATACTCCATATTTAGAAAATACAATATAGCATAGCATAGCATATCTCATATCTAGAAAATAGAATATAGCATAGCATAGGATACCTCATATCACATATCTAAAAAATACAATAAGCTTATAGCATAGCTATCTTTATATCTCATATCTAGAAAATACATTATCCATTTTAGAGTTGGGACACATGCTGAAAATAGGTCAGTTATTTGAATATCCCATAGCGTGACAACAACATGTTTTTTTAAGTTCAATTATAATATTTCTAATAGATTTTATCATAGTATACTTCATAATATAATACACATTATAGCATAGCAATTATACTCCATATCTCATCTAGAAATTATTCATTCTATCATTTATATCAAATACACTACTCTCTATACAGACCTATTATTACAGACCTATTCGATGTCACATTGCAATGTTGATCCTTTTCACAAGGGCAAGCTATCATAAATTTCGTCTTATACCTTGACTGCAATAGACACATTCCTTGTATCATGGAATTCAGAAAGCCAATCAGAGACCTTGACAGAAAGATTGTAAAACATTATGTTGAGGTCTCTGGTTTTATTTGCTAACAGATTCAATCAAGTTGCTATATTCTGCGAGATAAGAAAGTTAGCTATTATTGCATTCAAGGTATAAGACGAAGTTCGTAATAGCCTGCCATTGTGAAGATGACTACATCTCTTAAATTTTGTTACATTTAGAACGAACCTGTTAAGTCTAGCATGTCAACTTTATCAAATTCATTGACTCCCCAGTTATTTCCACTAGCAGCTAGAACAAATCTATGAGCTTTGATCTGTGTACCTCCTTGTAATAGTATAGTTATATCACTGAAAAACAATATAATAAAAACTGAATATTGAGATAATTATTAAATGATATGGAGTTTTAGAAATATAAAAACAGAACCTAGAAAAACATGTTTTTGTATCACGTTATGCGATCTTCAGACAACTGACCTATTATCAGTCTGCATCCCGAATTGTGATGTATCGGCACAATTAATGTTTAGCCCCCTTTAATAACTAATGACACAGAATCCTTGTGTGTATAAGAAATTGTGTCATGTTTTCATTTTCCAAGTATGATTTTCACATCAAAATTTCCAAAAATTCATCTCTGACTTTAAAAATTTGGATTTTTTTCATAATTCCTTACTTCTAAATGTTTTCAAGTGCTTAATAGTGAGAAAATTGTAAGTAATTTGACAAATTTCTACAATTTTCTTCTCTTTCCTTCTCTAATAAATGAATCGCGATAATTATCCCAATGAATCATATCGTTGGATGAGTATCGTATTGTGTATCGAATCGCAACTTCAAAAATCGTTGCAGCCCTATTAAAGACCTGTGCTAGAGGTATTAATGATGGAAAACTTCTCAGTTAAAACCCAGGTTACAAGCTTTATAATGAAATATAACAGAAAAACAATGAAATTATGAAGTGACAGTTTTAAGTGGAGTTTTACATCCTAGTGAGTTTGTTTTGCTCAAATAATTTATTATGTAGCCTAATTCTTAAAAAAGGGGAGAGGTGGGGCAAGGTGAAATGGAAAGGAACGAAGGGGCGATTTATAAGCTTATGGATAATTTAGTGGTAATTTGGGAAGGGGTGAAGGGGGATCTGAAGGGGCAAAGTGGAAAGGGACAAATTGGGAAAGAGGCAAATAAGGAAAAAGGCAAATTGGGGAGGAGGGAAACTTTAGAAAAGGGCAAAAGAGCATGGGGCAGTATATGAATAATTTGGGGACAATTGGGAAGGGGCAATATGCGAAGACACTGATAAATCATGCTCTACTAACCTGAACAAATCATTGCTAAACAATTGAGCAGCCAGTAGTTGAAGTCTTGTGGCGATAGGAACTTCTCCATCTTGATTCTTCTCAGATGATATCAAACAACGATATGTTTTCTCAACAGCTGATAGATGTTTTTGTAATCTATCATATTCCTGTTTCAAACCACCCAATTCTTTTCCTAATGCTACAGTAACTGTAAAAAAGATAACAATGAAAATGTGAGGTTACTCTACTACCCAATCTAATCTAATGTGATCTAACGAGATTTATACCAACGTCATGTGTACTGTTGATGTCCATTTCAACCAATCATAGCGTTGCATTCAGGACCTCTGTCTAAATAGAGACTTTGAATTGTGGAATAGCGATACCAAAATATAACAAACATAAATAAACAAAGTACAAACAATTCGAACAGCAAAATGAAACAACATTTTGGCGCAACATAGTTTATAGGTAGCAGCTTATGAACTTCCACAAGAGGAAGTATGATGTGCGAAGTGACACGAGGGCGATTTGGTTTTTCCACTGATTCTCGGTCGAAATTGAATTAAAAAGAATGCGGGAACATGACACAAATTATCCATAGAAAATAACCTATTGAAATAAGTCTTGAAGATCAGGATGTATTGCTAAGATCTAAATTGAGCCGAATGTTAAACGGTTGTGTAGAAAGCTGGCTAATCAAAGATAAATTCTTACCGTTTGCCGCCATCTTGGACCAAATCGTCCTTCATACAAAATCGTACCTTATCACGTGACTTCTTAGTTCATTCGAGTACAGTTGCACGTAAACATTCAGTAACTATTTCCGATATACAAATATAACATCTTTAGCAGGTGATTGACTAAACTTTCGTTCCGTATTCATATTGGCTTTTAGAGTGCGTGGCCTAAATAGAATTTTATATTCAAATTTCCTTCAAGAGTCTTAACTTAATGATGAGAGAAAGTGCATAATGTGCGTGATGAGGGAATAAAAAACTTTTAAAAAACTTTTTAATTTTTTTTAATTGAAATATCGATGGATCTGTCATACATCCTGCGAGACTGAGATGGGCTAACTGGTCGCCCAGTTATTATCATAATATATTATATTCATATAGAATGACATGTCTTACGTGATAGGCCTACGGTGTTATGTAGCCTACTGTAAGATACGCGTGTTGTTTTCTTTCAAAGACCCTTATTTCTTGAATATGTAGGCCTATATATAAACGGTACATTCAATAGCTCATTCACAAATGCACGTTTTAAATCGGCCAATGAGTAATGTTTAACTGTAAGTTATTGAAGAGACACTTTGACCTATATCAATAAGAGTTTCCACCATGATAATGATTACATGAAACTCGTCACTGGAGCGTATTATATAAGTATCAGCATTCACATAATATATGAATTTTTAAAGGGACAGTTTAGCCATTTTCAGGGATTGATTTTTTGATGTAAATGAATGTAAACAATACTAAAAATGTACAAAAATCTCACAATTCCTTCAATTTCTATTTCTATTTAGGTCTTTTCTATTTATGGCAGAGTCTCAAAAAGACGAGTCGTTATTTTAACTTTCAAACACATGGATTTGAAAACTAAAATTTCGATGGTGAGCTGTGAACAGTTACTGATTAGCTTAGCTAAAGAATTTCTGTATCTGAGACTAGGGTCAAACGTATGGCGAACTTGTCCCTTTAAAATAAAAAAATTCTCCGGATATCCTGATTGAACATGTAAAAGCAGCCACGATTTTTTAAATTACGTATGCCTTATTGATTTCGTCGTCTTGGTTGTCTCTTTTTCGTGATATTCAATTGCTCTAAAAATAGATTGAAATATCACCATAAATTCCCCTTTGTAATGTGATCAGACACGGATTCATTCAATTCACTTTAGACTAAACGTTTTATATTTCAATATTATGACACTGCAGTTTGTTGGGACATGTAAAGTTAAGAATTAATAACATAGGATATTGGATAAAGAAAGAACAACGAAAGCTCATTGGTTACTGTTTATTTTTTATTTGCCTTGCTGGCTTATAGGGCCCCATTTTAACTATTGGTATTGGAATTGAATTATTACTTCCGGTCTACCTTCAATGTTGATTTTCTTTTTAAGGTAAGAATTTATTATACATATTATATAGTATAACTTATCTTTTCGATATCAATAAGGGAAGGGGGGCGGGGGGGGGGGGGGGGGTTGAAGGGGGCACCCCTAGAAAATTTATGGAACTCTAAGAAAATTCAACACATGATTATTAATCGTTTTTGCCCCAAAATGTTTTTCAGAATATACCAAATAAGTTCAAATATTTCGAATTCTCTCCTCAATTCCTCCATGGGAACCTTGTGCATTAAGGCGCTCTCAAGGGCTCTTCCACATTTTGAATTCCAACGCCGATAACTGTGTAAATCCCATATCCACAAGCTACAAATTATTTCAGTCTGTCTCCTATTCATAATCCCGTATACTGGTGGCTGATATACAAAACTTTTATATAAATATTGGCGAATCGGACCTCTGAGATTGGACCTTACATGAAAAAAAGCGTCTTGTCGTTCGGATTGGACAATAAACCGAGGCCCTATGTGCTACACGCTGTGCGTTAACGATCCCTCGACAGTTCGAACCGAAAAAGAGTAGGCTAATAACGATGTCCTGGCCAAATGTCCCTCATTGCACTCTGCATGGCGTTGCTCGTCTTCATTAGCCACATGGTTCAGAAAAATAGGACGTAAAACTCGTCGGACAACAATTCCGTATGGTGTACGGAAAAACCATATATATCCCCAATGTGTATCAGTTAACTAGAAAACTTTCTTTATTAAGTCACGTGGTCATGTTTTATCAAAATACAGACGTCGGAGGGGAAAGGAACGAGGCAAAGAGAAGGTATAAGTATCGCCGATTGGTTAACAACTTGTTCTGGATGTTTTTTAGTAAAAAGGATGTTAAAATTCAATACGTGAGATAAAGTTTATATTTACTGTATAAATAATCCACATTGATGCGTAATCGACCAAAAATACACACCGAGTCATAATGTTCCCAAATTCACATGGACTCCTTTTAATTGTCGACACGACAAAGATCCCTATACAGTTCAAAATGGGAAAAGGCGTAAGAGAAGGGCTGTCCCAGCATATATTTCTTCATTACTCACTGCACTCATATGCAAACCTCTATTTCATTTCATTCGATGGTTAAGACTATGGTAAAGGAATGGGGCAGAATAGGGGTGCACCTGATACCACGCTTGATAACCTTAGGCATTATAATTGATCAACATCTAAATTGGAATGAGCATGTCAATTATATTTCAAAAATCCTTAAGCAGAAAATCTTTCAAATGAGAAAATTAAAATTACTTCTCCCTCCTGATTTGATTAAACTATTTTATACAGCACATTTTAGGTCTCATCTACATTATTGCTCATCTATATGGGACACTTGCAGTCAAAAATCAATTGCTTCTCTCAATTATTTACAAAAACTTTCTTTTAAACAAATAAACACTTCACCAATTTCACAACACATCAATCATTGGCTAAAACTCTAAATCTTTAACTGTTTCTAAAAGATTTCTTCTCAATAAATATTTATTTCTTTACAAAATTTCCATCAAAAAATGTCCTTCCTATCTGAATAATATCATAATATATAAATATACTAAATACTCTTCAATGAACTTACGGTGTAAAATACCAAAACCTAAAAACCATCTCTTCAAAAATAGTCTAAAATATACAGGTCCCTCTCTGTGGAACTCTTTACCTCTTTCTATACGATTTTCTACTAACATAAAAAGTGTTAGAACAAATGTATCAAAATTTATTAACACCCACTTTAAAATTTAAAAATGAATATTTCTCAATGTATAAATTAAAAAAACCATCAACCTTCTTCAATTATTTTGTGTTTTATTTTTATATTTTCATCCCTTCTGCCTAGCTTGTATACGATTTGTGCGCAAATAGCCTTCTTCAACATTATTTTATTATACATGTATTGTTAACTGAGTATTATGTCCATATTATTAGTATTTCTTTCATTTGTTTTGGTATTTTTTTTTTTTTTTTTTTTATAATTTTCATGTTATAATTTCACCGGATAAAATAGTAAAGAGGTCTTTGGCCTAATTTTCACCCTTGTCATTAAAGATTTTATTATTAACCCTCTTGAACCCGCTGACCTTTTATGAAATGACAAAAATATATACCAGATTTATACTACATTTAAGTCCAATTTAAGGAAAAATGAAACATTTAGGAATTTTATACACATTATAGTGCATATCTATTGTTGTCCGAGTTGGTAAGATTCAGTCACCTTCAGTCAACCAATGTTTGTTTATTTGGTTTATTATAAATGACTCGGCGATCAAGGAAGTTTCTTAAGAACAAGAAAGAGATCTGACTGTTTTTTATAATCACTTGCTTTGTGATTATTATACTAGTACTGTTGAATGTTAGACACAGCACTAGGCGTTTTCTAACTTTTACTTTTGTCATTCGACCTGATTTATTTGTCAAACAGCATATTTAAAGGGGTTGTACCAAGGCTTTATTGTCCATCAGGTCTATTTATGGCTTCTATTTGCATCAATAGCTTATGTCTTATAACCACAGACGTTTGACGTTTGCTTTCTGTGTTCCACATTTACATCAAATTTACATTACTTTAAAGGGACAGATTCGCCATCCGTTTGTCCAATCGTACCTTAGTCTCAGAAACGGGATTTTTATATTTTTTTAGCTAAACTTATCAGTAATACTGTTAACAGATCACCGTTGAAATGTGAGCCTTCAAGATAGCTCCTCTTTCAATTATAAAGTATTTGTTGTGCCCCGGGTCTTCACGTTAAGAGAATAAAACCCCACCCTTCCCCGAAACCCTTTATCAAACCTCATTTTTCAAATGAAAATGTTGAAAAGTGGTAGAAAATCTTTTGTAGAAAATAGAATATTCCTGATAATCCTGGTAAATAAAGTTTTTGTTTTCTTGATTATTGCAGATCTGGAATAGACGAATAGAATCCAACCGGTCTTCTGCTAGATAATGTACTTCATGAATCCAATAAAAATGGACGATTCGTCAACTGGGACATGAAGATTTATTAGTACCAACTAGATCGTCAAACAAACAGAAAAGAGGAATCTATTGAAGTATAAAAATAAAAATCCAAACAAAAAACTTCCGTTATACTATTATCTATTCACAGAATGGTGTCATTATCAAGGCTAGTGCTGGTTGGTCTGGGAATTACCATTGCTGTTCAAACTTCAGGTAACAATTAACAATGTATCTTGACAATTTCTGTAATGACGTGAATAGACGAGGTATGGTGTCCGGTGCGGAATAATCAATACAAACGAAAATAAAAGAAGTGGACACGAGGTTTGGGTCCGGACACGGTGTGGACACGATACGTTTCTTGTATTTTCTACAGAATCGATAATCCTACACCGAAAACCGCACCTCGTCCATTGGCGCATAAGCAGAATCATTAAAATACTGTAAGTTGTTGTAGAGCGTAAGCGAAACTTTCACTGTAAACGGTGTGTAATGTATCTTCACATTGTGAATACTGGGAGTAATATCAGACAAGGTATTCAGTATGGACGTGTGTCACCCAAAACCCAAGGTTACTGAAGCCATCAATTTCCACACTTTCGATTGTATCCTTCAAATTTGATCATTTACTGGATATTTCATCGTCTTGGTCTTGTTAAATCCCATTTACAAACAAATCTAGATCCTTGTTTAGTCGTTTAGCGGCAGGGTAATGATTTGACGCTTCAATAGATTTATCGTATTCTTCAGATGGATGGAAAAATAAAAAAGTTGGTCAAGTCAACTGGAGATCAAAACGAGAAGCAACTGTTTCTTATCATATTAACCTTCTACTGTACATAGATTCTGAAATATATTCCAGGTAAGATTTTTATACCGTGGCAGGAAGTGCTAGCCCTTTCTGTAGATACCTTGCTTGTTTGATGATTAATACATTTTTTTGTATTATAGTTTTCCATTATTTTAAAGATTGAAAATTACTCCATTGACAATTATTTACGCTTTGTGAACGTCATAATATGACCTGTGAATCAACTCTGTTTGAGTAGCATATTGCACATTAAACCGACAACTCCTCCAAACCGACATTTTCCTTTGCTCCAGTTGGGTGGATTTTCTCTCATTGTACCCTGTATGGCGTTGTCCGTCTTCATTAGCCCTCATAGTGCATAGAAGAAGAACGTAAAACTCCATTTATTTCATTTTATTTCAACACGTCCACAATCATTACATAATCTATTGTATGACAGGTAAACCTCATAATTAGGAACGATATAAATATTGATGATTTTGTCGAGTAACCAATCCATACGAAACAACGTATGGTAATTACATGGAAATACATACAACATAACCACAATTTGAATTTTTAAAACTACTATTTCAACAAAGCCTTCAAATCACATTTAAATTTTATTTAAAGCCATTTATGAAACTGTTAATCATTTTAGCATTTTTAAAAACTCAACTTATTAAGTCGAGGTAGAGATTCAAAATGGTATGAACTACGTTCGTGCGGTTCCATGCGAGAACAATACGTAGTTTCGTATTGTAGCTAATCTCTTGCGTTTTGTTTAGTAAATGATTGCACATACAACCCGCAAATAATATTTGAGTAACTCCTCTCGTATAAAAACGGCTGTCTTTGTTAGATTATATATTTAATACTGTGTTGTTTGCGGCTTATGAACCTTATGAACTTAGATTGAGATTTGTATAGGTACGTTACACATGTCAGTTTTCTCTTTGTGACCTGTCACTTCGTAGTTCTGTCGTATCGTATCTTGCTTTACAACAATTTACATTAAAGGGATTGTCAAAAGGTTTTCTAAAATAAATTATGTTTATCGGGGACACTGATAGCATCAATTTGCGTCATTCAATCAGACGTCCGTGGTTCCTGCAATTCCACTAAAATTAAGTGTTTGCTCACTAATCGTAAAATCGTAAAATATGCTTTATCACATAAAGCCCTTCACGATTAGTGACGTCATCAAACACTTAGTTTTAGTGGAATTGCAGGAATTAATGATAAAGGGTCTCGTAATTTTCTCTTTTCTATATGAAAGATTTTATAGCCGAACCACTGGTAACACTGTTACAGAAAGAGCAAACCAAACTGAAACAGATATTAAACAGTATTATATTTTATATGCCAAATCCGTAAGTTTGTATCTCCTATTATTATTATTATTATTATTCCCTGCATTCATAAATACGTTAAAATCGTACATATTATGTTTCATTTTAATAATAAAACACGTCGTACACATGAGCCTCTTCCAGTTTTGCGATTTGCTGAAATCATACCCCTCAAGTATGAAGACTGTGGTAGAGACAGATGGAGGTGTTATTTCTAAACACTCTGTATAGATGATTATTCAAGAAAGCTAACGGTTAAATGTGTTTACATTTCAGATGAACTCTATATATTCCGGTATAAACTCATCTCGACTAGAAATAAAGATTTCACTGGTAGACATCCTTATATCGAAGGTATTAATTATATCATAATAAAACATATATATATATATATGGTTTATCACATAATGGCCTTCGCGACTAGTGACGTCATAAGACACTTAGTTTTAGTGGAATTGCAGTAGCCAAAGACTTCTGATCGAAAATTGAATGGAGTAAATTGATGCTATCAGTGTTCCCGAGAGAGATTAATTTTTTTTAGAAAACCCTTTTACAATCCCTTTAATTCGGCTTCAGTCCACAAAGCGTGTAGTGTTGTTAACCTCTATTTTACCTTATTGACTATTGACTTATCGACTTGTGAACTTTGAATTATCGAATATTATAATATCGTATCAATGTTGACTATATATATCTGTTTTATTTTTTATCAAAAATTGGATGAACTCAAATATGAAGTAGGTTATGCATAGCCTGTCTTAACACACGATGTCTCAATTGTTAAACCTTGTATCAAAATTTTAATTTTATTTTTTAATTTTAAGAAAAATTAACACTTCAAAAACTATTGTAAAGATTGATGTATTGCTACAGGCAATAGATATAACTTGTTTTTAGGATCAACATAATTAATATTCATGATGTTACAATCTGACACGAATACATGACAATCTTTAATATTACAGTGTATGAGTACAGACAGCCCCTGTCGGTCATGTTGATTCCCCATCTCATACAAAGCTATTTGGATAAAGTAAAACATTGTACCATCTTTTTTTTTCGATTAAGAACACGGTTTTATTGACGACGAATCTAACGTAACCATATGCCCTATTCTAGGAATCTGAAAGATGGATCATTGTCAGACCAGACGGAAAGATAGTCACTGGTAGAATACTGGACTCTTTTTACACACAATTGAAAAACTACAAGTATGGACATGCTATGTTGATAACTGGACGCGAAATAATCAGCAGCAGGGACGAAATGGTCGCAGGTACATTTATTACTCTTTACACATTATTTTGGAAGTGGAGTGCACATGTAACATGTAATCCACGGAATTGTAAATTGTTGAAACGTTCTGTACAATAATACTCAGGGGTATATAGTCTAAACTGATGATGACAATGTAAATTGTTGAAACGTTAGGTACAATAAAATCTTACAGGTATTATAAACTGATGATGACAGTGTAAAGTATTGAAACGTTGTTTACAATAAAAACTCGGGGGTAGTATTTAAACTATTGATGACAATGTAAAGTGTTGAAACGTTGTGTACAATAAAAACTCGGGGGTAGTATTTAAACTATTGATGACAATGTAAAGTGTTGAAACGTTGTGTACAATAAAAACTCGGGGGTAGTATTTAAACTATTGATGACAATGTAAAGTGTTGAAACGTTGTGTACAATAAAAACACGGGGGTAGTATTTAAACTATTGATGACAATGTAAATTGTTGAAACGTTGTGTACAATAAAAAGTCAGGGGTAGTATTTAAACTGTTGATGACAATGTAAATTATTGAAACGTTGTGTACAATAAAAAGTTAGGTGTAGTATTTAAACTATTGATGACAATGTAAAGTGTTGAAACGTTATGTACAATAAAAAGTCAGGGGTAGTATTTAAACTGTTGATGACAATGTAAAGTGTTGAAACGTTGTTTACAATAAAAAGTTAGGTGTAGTATTTAAACTATTGATGACAATGTAAAGTGTTGAAACGTTGTGTACAATAAAAAATCAGGGGCAGTATTTAAACTATTGATGACAATGTAAAGTGTTGAAACGTTGTGTACAATAAAAAATCAGGGGCAGTATTTAAACTATTGATGACAATGTAAAGTGTTGAAACGTTGTGTACAATAAAAAATCAGGGGCAGTATTTAAACTATTGATGACAGTGTAAAGTATTGAAACGTTGTGTGCAATAAAAACTCGGGGATAGTATTTAAACTATTGATGACAATGTAAAGTGTTGAAACGTTGTTTACAATAAAGAGTTAGGTGTAGTATTTAAACTATTGATGACAATGTAAAGTATTGAAACGTTGTGTACAATAAAAAGTTAGGGGTAGTATTTAAACTGTTGATGACAATGTAAATTGTTGAAACGTTGTGTACAATAAAAAGGCAGGGGTAGTATTGAAACTGATGACAGTGTAAATTATTGAAACGTTGTGTACAATAAAAAGGCAGGGGTAGTATTGAAACTGTTGATGACAATGTAAACTCATGGGCAGTACTTAAACTGTTCATGGCAATGTAAATTTTATGAGTTGTATGCCATATAATTGTGTTCTGTAATTTCAATAATATTCCACTCTGTGTAGGCTACATAAGTTAATTAATTTGCAGGTCGAGCAGAATTTTACTCAATTTGTCAAGCGAATAAAAAGAGTGTATCAGTGGTTGTAGATCGAGGAAGATTTGAGAGTGTCAGAACAGCCTGTCACGAGTTGGCACACAGGTAATCATTAATCACTTCGAAAGGCTTTCTGGCCTAATTATGTGTATTGGTAGCATATGGTTACTTTAGGAGCTTCTCCAATTTTATTTTTGTATAAATAAACCAAGTACCAACGATCAGAACCGCAAAGCGGAATCCGAAACCCAAACAACATAATGGCAAAACATTGGTAGCAGCCAATGCAAAGTGGTATCAGGTATCTAGAAGAGTAAACATACCGTTCTTGGCGCCACTACCGTCATAACTGAAAAATATACACGACAAACACTATAAAACCAAACGTGCCAACAAAATTTGACCGATGAATTTTAAAAGTTCAAGGGACGTAACTGATGAAAATATATTTATCTAATTTCAATAGTCAATATTCTGATATGAAAAAATGTTGCAAACACCCACATCCATAAGGAAGCATTTAATAATGAAAAGTGGCGTCTAGTGATCAGAGTAAGCATAGGCCTGGAACAATACAAAACCTAGTGTTATAAACGTCACCTGTGTAAAACAAGTTTTAAATTTGGTCGTTAGACAAAAATATCTACGAATGCCTACGATGATAGACCTAGTAGAAACAGATATCTTATATTTTTCAATTAGTTCATGATGGCGACCGTAAAATTTCTCAAGGACGTTTTTAATTCGATTCGGTAAATACCATTGTAGTATTAGTTTAGATGTTAAATGTTTCGATAAATCAGAGTAGAAAGATCGTGTTCTAGAGTATCGAACGTTGGAAAATGCGGAATGTTGCTGCACTTAAAAGTAAATTTGACCATTGGAAAATCAAAATCAACATGCTTGTCAAATAATTTTACCATCCATAAGCCATAAGTATAAGGGTTATTAATCACTTGAAATCCTTTGGCGGCCTCTTTGTGTATCGGGTACATTAAATGGTTCATTGATTTACTGTTTAACAAATGTATAACCAATTTAGTATTAGATGTGCCACCTGCAAAACTTTGTCATGATGTTATGTTATGAAGTGGTCACATAAAATGATGACTGACCAAATTTTACAATTGAGGGGAGATAACTGTGATAACAAACATATAAATTTCAAAAGTAGGTCAATACAAAAACTATACACTACAGAATCGACAGGCTAAAAACAGATGTTACTGACCAAATTTCAGAACTCAAGGGAGATAACTGCGATAACGGGAACAGGAAAAAAATATAAAAGAAAAATTATCTACATGAGGAACTTAAATCCAAAAACTAAATCCTGTATCAACCAAATAAAAAAAAAAGTTCCAAGATCCGAATCAAGCCCTCAATCCAAAATAAGAGTTTGAAATTAGACTACATTGTAATTATTGTAACGTTTCAGTTTGGGAGTAAATCATGATGCCACAGAACCAGGATGCCTGGGAAGTGACCAATATATAATGGCTGGAAATTCAACCAATGTTAATATCAGTAATAAGTTCAATCCATGGCGATTTTCTAGCTGTTCTGTTAAGAGTTTGGTTGAAAAAATGGAATATATTACAACTCTCAGTGCTCAGTGAGTATAAAAAAAACAGTCTAATTAAAATTTTTATTTTTGATTCAGTCACTTCAGTTGGGGTCTAAAGAAGACCTTCTTGAACCTTTGACTGATTGAGGACACCACCAGCCAATCAGATGCATGTCCTTTCCAGTACGACGTAAAACTTCATATGTCTTTATTTTACCAGAGAACAGCAATGTCTAACACGAAAAGAGTTTTCAAATATTGACCAGACATTATTTGAGAATCTTGAACCGGGTCAAGTGTACGCTCCTGATCAACAATGTCAAATGATACGTGGGTCGAATTCATACTTTTACAGAGTAAGTTTAAATTGTTATATTCTATCAACTCATTTCGTGTTTAAGTTATCAAGTTTAAGTTAACTTTTATTATTTCACCAATTGATTTAATGTTTTAAGTTATAATTTTCATCAAGAAATTATGGTGGATTCGTTCGTGATAAAGTTTCTTATTGGTTATACAAGTATATTATTAACTTCTTAATAACTTATTAATCAAGGTACCCTAGATTTGAAAGTCTTAATTACAAAATGGTACGGTCGTTGAACAATAAAATAAATGTGTGCCTTTCATCATATCCGATTGGCTCAACAAGATCATCAACAGTTCGACATATTTACAGCTTACATGTTAACCTACTTTTGAATATATATGTTTGTTATAACATTTATCTCCCTTGAGTTGTGAAATTTGTTCAGTAATATCTCTTTTTAGTCTGTCGATTCTGCAGTTTATAGTTTTTGTATTGACCTACTTTTGAATATATATGTTTGTTATAACAGTTATCTCCCTTGAGATATGAAATATGTTCAGTGTATCTGTTTTTTAGTCTGTCGATTCTGCAGTTTATAGTTTTTGTGTTGACCTACCTTTGAAATTTACATGTTTGTTACCTCTCTCGAGTTGTAATAGCAACATAATTTTGGGTGTTTACCACCACGACATGACATCCAATGGCGTTTCTAGGAAAAATTAGTTTAGAGGGCCAGCAGGTGCCAGAAAGACAGGATCTTTTGTGAACCTCTGTTGTTTGTGAACCTCTGTTGTTATCCTTTCAAATATAGCTGTGATATAGACTAAAATCCTACATTTGTGCTGAAACAGTCATTTTGTCCAATACAGGATGGAACCCAAGGTGATAATGTATGTACGAATATGAAATGTGTAATTGGTAACAATTATACAGAATACACTGCGGCTGAGGGAACATCGTGTGGCTCTAAGAAGGTACGGTACGAAATTTTTATCCTTTTAAGAACACGTTCAGTCAAAACAATTCCGTTTATCCAATGACACAATCGGAGGCAACAATTGTATAGTAGTGGAGTCCTCAAACGAAAAGTACCATCAAATGTTTCTTAAAGAGTAAGCATGGTCTGCTACGCGCGATAACCCCCACCACTATGCAGTTGGTTGGTTGTGTGTTAACCATTTAGATACTTAATTTGGTACATATTTTTCTGGGGTTAGGGGCTCTCTAGGGGGTGGGGACCCGTGGACTTGGTTCAACGAGTCCTTAAGGTAGTTGAACCACTTACTGGGTTTAAGGAATGTGTTTAAGGAATTTTATCTAGAGTAAGGGATTCAACAGTATTACATAAAACTTATTATTTCTGCTCATGCCAATTAGGGATTACAACGCACGAAACACTTTGTTTCATTTTATATTATTTTATTTCAGTGGTGTCATTTGGGACGCTGTGTATCATCAGAACAAGTGCCAGGTACTTTCTATATTTCTATTATTTCGCTAGCTAATAATGTTTATTTGGTATTTAAATGTGTATAAATTGTCCATTTAGCTCTTTAAGATGGGTTCCCTTATTTTCATTTATGAAAATGAAAATGCTAATACTTATATGAATAGAAAGTAGAGGTGTTCTTATGACTTGGAAAAATACCAGTTTGTCTCATATGTCCGTAATTAATTCATAATTAGCTAAATAAGAAGAGAATTACCAGCAGAATTCAAATGAGTGACCGATCAAGAAAGGCCAAAAATAGTTTTTTTGGTTTATCCCGACTGTACTTACATGGACATTTAGAACTTAATGATATAATTAAAAATACACGATAATTCATTAGAAACACCAATTAATAAAATAGTTTGCTTAATTTGACACCTACAATATGGAAATCCATCTTTAATGTTTATTGTGTATTAAGATTTGTCAGCTCTGCACATCTTTCTGAAAGTTCATTTAGCTCTTAATGTTGATCGTGAATTTAGGTTTGTCAATCTGACTACTCTTTCTGAAAGTCCATTTAGCTTATAATCTATATCGTGTATTTGGTTTGCTATTTTGGCTATCCATTTGGAGAGTCTGTTTTTTAATTTCAGAAAAGTGTGTGTTTGGTGACATGCCTACACACTTTAGACTCAATGTAACCATCAAAAAAGGGAGTACTGAAATTCAAATGCAAATGACTTGCCCAGAGATAGCTCAGTCATTGCCTTCTCTCTGCTACTTACCGAACATTGTCACTAGGTGCTGTTCTTCTTGTGATAAAATAGCAACTTCTATTACGGGTTGGTATCGATTTTTATTTAGAAAATGAGTTTAACACTTGTCATATCGACATAATCCTAACTGTAAACTGTTTCATTTTACTCTGTTTTGCGTTGTCAATTTCGTATTAGCTCTTAAGGTGCAGTGGAATAATCTGCTATTATATAACAGGATCAGTAAGGTGTGACTTTGAAGTAAATGTGTGATCAAATTTGATTTTTTTTTTTGCGTTTTTTTATCAATCTTTTGCCAGTTGGTATAGAAGACGTTTTCATTTATCGCCATCATATATCACCTGTAATATATAACAACAGTTCACAGATATTGAAACAAGCATTTACGTGTATGTAGGCCAAAAAACTCCATTAATTTTCTGTCATACATGACTTTCTATATAGGTTGTCAATATGGAGATAAGATTTCGAAATGTTCAAAATCACATTGTGATGAAGTTTACTCTAATGGTAATGTTGGAGCTAGTTTGTGAGTATTAATTTCCTATCATCTTGAACGTCATATTTAACATTTTTCACACGTAAATACCCCATAAAAGTGAAAAGAGACTACAGGTTGACCATACATCTCGATCTTTTTGCACTATCGACTGATATCTGCATCCTGTTAGTAGATTTTGAGTATTAATATTTAGTCATCTTGAACACCCTGCCCAACATTTCATACTAGTAAATACCTCATGAAAGAGATAGAAGAGAACGCCTGACCATGCATCTTCACAATGTCAAGCTATTCCGAACGTCTTATACCTTGCCTGCAATAGCTTCTTTTTTGACGTACAAAACTTTTTAATGCATAATGCTGAGAAATCTTTTTCTGGTGGAGGTTTGGTACCAGGGTCCCCAGTGTGACGACACGTCATAGTATTACTTCGTAATTTGCAGTTGTTGTGGAACGTGTAATCTGACATCACCATTTGTTTGTCGCGATCGGGATGCCGAGTGTAGTTCAGATGTTTCTGGTGGAGCAGATAGATGTTACGACGCGAAATTTGCCTACCGATGTTGTAAGACTTGTGAAAGAGCTCGTAATCTCAAAAGAGCAGGTGAGAATCTTCCTTAAGTGGCATTTAGTAATCGGACATTATTAGTCTCGTCTTATTAGCTTGATGAGTCGAATATCTGAAGTCTGAGCTGATATTGGGGTAATGCATTGGCCATCTTATTATTAGAATTGGGAAAGGGAACAGAAGGGTGATTTTAGCGACTCAATGATTTATTATGTTAAGTATGGTGTAGGAAACTGAACTTCCCATCAAATAGACTCTCTGCTTTGGAGGAAGCCGACGTATCTGACATGGCTTAAATCTGCCTATTTCTCCTCTAGTGTATTAATTTGCTGATTTTTTTAGCCTCTGGACTTTGACCCAAGGGGTGTTGTTTCTACGGGGCTTTGGCCTCCCCGCACTTTCAAATTTTTTATCATTTTACATAGTAAAAGAATGGCCTGAGGGCTCCCTGAACAATTTTGTGGTCCCTGCTCGCTCTGGCATCAGACTCCATTCATTTGCTTTAAACTATTCACAGGCTGTGAGTATGGAGATAAGGATAGACAGTGTGGTGATAAGAATTGTGATAATAACTATTATAAAGAACAGTGTTGTGAATCGTGTTACCAGGATGTGACGTCATTTGGACACAGACCAATAGTGGCTCTTTCAGATTGGATTCTGCTGGTGATGTCATTTGTGTTCCATTTAAGAAATATTGAATATTAGAAGAATTTTTGAATGTTTTGATATATTGTGGATGTGAACAGAAGGAAGAGATCAGTATTAGTGAACTTTGTATTTATTTCACATTGAAAGTTATTAATTAGCTATTTAAACTTTCTAAGACAATGCTTCCTCCTTTTCATATCAAATTCTCCTGTTAATATCTCTAACACTATATCAATCATACATTCTTATCATGAACTTTGTTATTTGTTTTATATTGCTGAGCCGAACGTCGTCGTATTTGTTATATTTGTTTTTGTACATCTTCATGACGGTCAAGGTATTATGTCTTCATCTTATACCTTGACTGCAATGGTCCTCTTTCTTGTTTCAGGAAAGTTTGTAAATACAGCAATTTGACTGGATTGTACGCCAGCGAATACAGTCAATCTGAGTCCTTGACAGAAATAATGTAAGAATGATTATGCACGAAATCGAGGACTCTAATCGACTATATTTGCTGACGTACAATCCAATCAAATCGCTGACGTGAAATAAGATAGATGACGTTATGCCTTGAAGATAGTTGCATGTATGTTAACGTTAATGAATATCATTATACTAATACTAATTTCATTACCTTGAAAAGACCAATGTTGATGCAGACCTATGCATTAAGGAATTGTTAAAACTTTGTCGATGTATTTTGATGAAATCAATGTGTCATAGAAGATGTGTAAACATGTTGTGCTTCGGTTTCAAATACGCAGTATTATTTCTTATTCTTTTACTCATTATTGATATGATAGTGTATTTTGTTGTACTTTTGGGAAACTCGTACATCTCGGTTATTTTTCTTCAAGTTTTGTAATATCCGAGTTTTGTTTTGTCCTAACTTTGTCAGTTCCCTGTTTTGGAAAAATTAAGTATTATAAAACATGACAGTTGACTGACATTCGTACAAAAATAATGAAAGAAGTTCTATGTTTATTGAGATTCTTTGAATTTAGTTTTATAGAAATAATCATCATCAAATCAAATGTATTCTACAATGAATGGAGTTTTACGTCCTACTCTCTGTTGCGATCAAGGTGGTAGCTTGACATTGTGAGGATACATGATCAACATCGCATCTTTTTTCCCATAATACATAATAGCACTCAACTGGTTGGTACCAGGTTAAATGGCACATTAACACAATTAACACGATATGGAAACTCTTATTTTCAAAATAGCTATTAAAACAAACTTATTAACAGACGTACAATAGACGTATTATAAATTAAAACAAATTCTGACTAAAAAAAAACTAGTACAGCATCGTTCATGCTGAAAAATGAAATTTCAGAAAGAGAAAACTCATAACTATCCGAACCACAAAACGAAATCGGAAAATCAAAATAACAGTTTGGCAGAACATTGGTAGCAGTGAGCAGTTCACATAAGGAAGTATATCAATCATGAAAAGGGAGACTAATACTAGCCAAACTAAAATAGAATGTAATAAATTATTTGAGTACAGAATATTACAAATTGAGTTTAGAAAAAAAAAACGAAATTCGCTTAATATATTTATGTTATATAATATTATATACTTCTATAAACAAATTGATATACCTTTAAGTATGTACATTTTCTGAATCTTAAAATAAAAAATGTTAACATGAAATCGTTTTGTTGGTAATCAGTGTAAGTTATTGTAGAAACCTTAAATAAATCATTCCTTGATTGTTTTTCTTAATTCGTTGTTAAATATAATTACACATTTGAACGATTTACAACATTCTAAATTTACAATATTACACTTATAATAAAATCAAAGCACAAAAATAAAAGTAGACAACAAAAATGAAAATTCAACAAAAAAAAAATTATAACTCTAAAAAAGTGATAAAAAATTAAAAGATAAATCACAATGAAAAAAAAATGTACTGCTAAATGAAATTATGAATAATTATGTACAAAAAGTCCGACGTCTGTTTCTCACAATTTTATTCCATTTTTATTTGAATTCTTCATAAACGTGAGCACTGTGTTGAGAAAGAGACACGGTATCATAATCATTGGTGGGATTTTCATCTTTAGGATCGTACACTGGATTCGTAGCTACTGAATATGCACCAGAGATCTTATGTGACCTTCTCCTAAAAAAAATATTAGAAGTACATTTATTACTTTTGAATGATATCCCTTGAAATAGTTCTGCCAATTTATAAAAAAAAATATTAAAATTATGAACGATAATTATGAACTTTAATGTACATGATACACCATGGGCCTCACGAGGTTTAGGTCAATTTATACAAAACATTTAACATAGTGTTAAAACACGAATTTACAAGAATTTATTAAAAATTTGTATTAAGTCAAAATTATTAAAGGTATTAATATAAACCTTCATTAGCATCGATTTGCACCATTTCAAATTTTAATCAGATACCTGTGGGTTTTGCAATTCCATTGAAACTTAGCGTCGTCACTGTCGCAAAGGACCTTATTATAATAAAAGCAGAGTTAGCGATAGTAACGTCATTAAACGTTAAAATAGTGAAATTGAAGTAAGCACTTTCCATAAAGGAAACATCACTTAGAATAGACATAAACTTTGAAGTCTCAGATTTGGTCAATAAGAGTATATATTCATTAGTTTGACCAACCAGGTGACATGACTAAAGAATAAAATCTCTATAAAAGATAGACTAATTAATTATTGAAAAAAACGATTCTGAAATCTGTAAAAAAGGCCGGAAATCTATTCATTGGTATAAAGCGGCGACATATTCTAAACTATACAGTAGTAAATTTCAAAACGTAGTAGGGAGAGTATATATCAGCAGTATTACTTGTCAAAACGCTTGGACAGAGAAATAAACTTAGTAGAAAAAATATGAACAGTGCTACTTAAGGAGAGGTCTGAATTGCCAAATAGAAGACTGTTTTCTATTTTGAAGGTAGTTATGGAGAAGATTTAAAAGATTGCCTCTAATGCCAATAGTTTATGAATGAGACCCTTGAAACAAATTTTATCGAATGCGGAACTTATGTCAAAAAATACCATTTTAATTTAATTGCCTAATGTTTGTAAAATATCTGGATATATATTGATTAACTGATAAACAACAGCATCCTTTTTTTTATAAAACCAGACTTAAATTGATTTGTTCACATTTCTATCTACAACGTGACGTCATAATCTCGCATATTTACGAGCAAAACAAAATGGCGGCCCATGAACGAGCAATTTAGGGCGAAAATTCTGTCAAAATTGAAACATTGTTATTTTTTAAGTTTTTTTTACCATAAAAATTTAATATTCACGCTTTCTATTGGTCGTAAATTGTAAATAAAAAAAAAACTTACTCACATACGATGATGATTGAAATAAATATAATAATAACCACGGCTGCTACTACTGATATACCAATTACAACAGCATCAATTCCATCTACAAATATTAAACATCAACTACAACCACTTGTGTAACATACTTGTATCTCTTATTATTGTGTATTATCTTGTATCATGATGTATGCTGCCCAAAAAGGGCGAACAATACAATAAATATCTATCTTTCTATCTGGCGATTTAGTTTTTCAACCCCACAATTCTTTCAGTGTTCCCATATGCTTGAACACATGTTCATTCATCAATTTATTCAAGCAAAACAAATCAATTGTTTTAGCTAAACAGTTTTCCAAAAAGGAGCAAACAGATATAATATAGACATATATACAGATATAATACAGACATATATACAGATATAATACAGACATATATACAGATATAATACAGACATATATACAGATATAATATAGACATATATACAGATATAATACAGACATATATACAGATATAATACAGACATATATACAAATGAAATATATTAAATAAGATTTCAACTCCTTACTACTTGCAAACACAACAATGGTGTCTATCCAAGGGCGCCGCTATCACGAATAACTATTTATTGATTTGGCTGTTTCATATTAACAAATACGAAGAGGTTTTCTAAAAAATTCGACTATATGTGTATGGAATAGTGATTCAAAATATCGGCCAAGCAGCTTTATGTCTGTTAGTTTACGTTTGTAGAATAACACGTGGTTTGTCATATGAATATCTGTGTCGGTTAATCGACCTTTGACCTTTGAAAAAAAGAAAACTTAAAGATACCTTTCGCTGCATCATTATCTATAACAGTTTCATTAATAACTGAAATATACAGAAAAAAAGTGAGTGATAAATGGCATTTTGGACATTATTTGGAAATGGTCATAGTTATCCAGCTCTACCCCATCGTGAAGATATTTGAAAAAAGTTTTAGTTAAATTGTAGTAAGAACTTTTCTCATAGGTAACTACCCCTTAGAATAGACATAAACTTTGAAGTCTCAGATTTGGTCAATAAGAGTATATATTCATTAGTTTGACCAACCAGGTGCCATGACTAAAGAATAAAATCTCTATATAAGATAGACTAATTAATCATTGAAAAAAAACGCTTCTGAGCATGTTTCAAAATTACCTACATGTAGTTTAATGGGTTAGTTTTTAGAAGAATAGTCAGCTTTGAGACTAAAGACCAGTGTGGTGAGACTCTCGGAAATACTTCTAAAAAAATTTGACTATTTGTGTATGGAGTAGTGATTCAGAATATCGGCCAAGTAGCTTTATCTCTATTAGTTTACGTTTGTAGAATATCACGTGGTTTGTCATATGAATATCTGAGTCGGTTAATCGACCTTTGACCTTTGAAAAAAAGAAAACTTAAAGATACCTTTCGCTCTATCATTATCTATAACAGTTTCATTAATAACTGAAATATAGAGAAAAAAAGTGAGTGATAAATGGCATTTTGGACATTATTTGGAAATGGTCATAGTTATCCAGCTCTACCCCATCGTGAAGATATTTGAAAAAAGTTTTATTTAAATTGTAGTAGGCACTTTTCTCAGATAGACTAATTAATTATTGAAAAAACGCTTCTGAGCATGTTTCAAAATTACATTCATGTAGTTTAATGGGTTAGTTTTTAAAAGGATAGTCAGCTTTGAGACTAAAGACCAGTGTGGTGATTGACTCTCGGAAATACTTGTAAATTGTATTGAAAACCTTAAGATTAATAAAGCTTACGGATCTAACCAAATATTGAATGAATATATTAAAACTACTAAATCAGTAATGTTACCTGTATATGTTTTACTTTTTAATCTTATTCTTGACTCTAGTATTGTACCAACCGAGTGGGTTAATGGCATGATCTGCCCAATTTACAAGAATAAAGGAAGTAAAGCAGATGCAGATAGCTACCGTGGCATTACTATTCTTAGTTGTTTATGCAAGTTATTTACCTCTGTCGATAGTAATCCACGACTTAAACTATGGCAAAAAGTATTAGAAACTGGCATAAAAGGAAAACTCTTTAATGTGATATATAACATATATAAGCAAGCTTAATCTAGTGTCCGTTTAGGATATTGTGTATCAGAGCCCTTCAGAGCCCTATGAATTTTCTATTGGCGTTCGACAAGGTGAAAACCTGTCTCCCCTGTTATCTTCTATTTATCTGAAAGATCTTTCCAATTTCTTAACAAATTACTACTCTTGTTTAAATGTTTATGAATCAGACATTAAAAAGGTTGGTTGTTATCTCAAATTGTATTATTGTACGCAGATGGTACAATATTGTTAGCTGAATCCGAAACAGGACTTCAAAATGCTGTAAATGGGATGTCTTCATATTGTGCACTACCTCACCATAAACATATCGAAAACTAAAATTATTGTATTTTCTAGAGGTAAGATTCGTAATAAGCCAGTTATTAAATATAACAGTGATATTATAGAACTTGTAGATGACTACGAATATCTTGGAATCAAATTTAATTACAACGGCTCATTTACTAAAACAAAATGTACACTTTATAATAAGGCATCCACAGCCATGTTTTTAGCAGTAAGCTCCATCTTAATATTGAAACACAATTAAGTTTATGTAATAAGCTGGTGATACCTAACATATTGTATGGGTGTGAAATATGGGGTAGCAGTGACATTAAGAGTATATATTCATTAGTTTGACCAACCAGGTGCCGTGACTAAAGAATAAAATCTCTATATAAGATAGACTAATTAATCATTGAAAAAAACGCTTCTGAGCATGTTTCAAAATTACATTCATGTAGTTTAATGGGTTAGTTTTTAGAAGAATAGTCAGCTTTGAGACTAAAGACCAGTGTGGTGATTGACTCTCGGAAATACTTCTAAAAAAATTCGACTATATGTGTATGGAATAGTGATTCAGAATATCGGCCAAGTAGCTTTATGTCTGTTAGTTTACGTTTGTAGAATAACACGTGGTTTGTCATATGAATATCTGAGTCGGTTAATCGACCTTTGACCTTTGAAAAAAAGAAAACTTAAAGATACCTTTCGCTCTATCATTATCTATAACAGTTTCATTAATAACTGAAATATAGAGAAAAAAAGTGAGTGATAAATGGCATTTTGGAAGTTGGCCATCGTGAAGATATTTGCAAAAAAATGTTTGAAAATAAGAAACTCACCGGCAAACCAAGCTTTCCCACTGCTGTCAGCTCGACAGACAAATTCTCTGATACCTGTATTATACATAGTACCATTACCATAGCATATATTATGCATAATACAATGATACGACTGAAATAAACCATTTTTTGACTTTGTGATTAAATAGTATATCATATCTTGTTGGAAAGAGGACCAACTTATCAAATCCATTATCACACCAAAATCATAAAAAGCGCATAAATTGTGCCGAACTTTTCGAAATTTTACAAGGATGCTTCACTCAAAGTTCACAACTTATCAATTTATTTTGTCTTCTCGGGTGTCGTATTATGAATTATAGATCATCAGGATTGTTTTTTTCGATGCTTCCGATTTTCCCCGGAAGCAGGACCATTAGAAGTGATTTTAGAAATCGGAAGTTCTCATGTTCAAAATGGAAGTAATTAAGAATAAAGATAGTATTATTTGCATTAACAGACTATCCGCTTCCTGTAATTTTTTTTCAGTTTTATTTGCTGCTAATAATGAAGAAAATTCTACAAAAAATACAAAACACGAGCTTTGTATATTCACTTTGAATTCGCTCTCAAAGGTAGATAACCGATCAAAGAATGAATGAATGAATAATGGAGTTTTACGTCGACTATAATTAATATAATATACTATACATAATATAATATATAGACTTTTTGTCAAATATGAAACATTACATGCACCCAGAAAATTCTGTTTTTTTGCTACATATTGATGAAAAGTAAATATTTGTTTTGTACATATGAACACACGCATGAAACTGGTGAACAGTATATGAATACGGACCACACTTTTCGTTTTGATGGGTTGCAAAATAAATTTGTGAGATCAAGGTTATTTTTGGTATGTTTGCTATATATTGAATCTTACCGAAAATGTGCAGATCATTTCATTCGAGTTATCTATACTACAGTTTATACATTCTGTATTATATATGATCAGATTTAACTGTTGACTGTAGTTCTGACCATTATTAGATACGGAGACTTTATAACCAGTCACAGTTTCATCAATAACTGGTACATCTACTGATCTTCTTCTACGTTTTCTAGATGATAATTTACACGTTACTTCTCCAATACTCTCAAATACTGCTGTTTGTATTATTATATCTTCACTGACAGTAACTTGGTCATTCTTTATCTAAAAGGTATTAAAAGGTATTTATCTTCATAAACACAAGACGATATTATGGAATAAGCATATTTCTTAAAAATATCATTCAACACATTATGTTTTTTTCCAAATGTCGTTCAAGCCTATGGGATGCCAGGCAAGGTAATACAAGCCAATGGCAGCTTAAAACTGCTACCATCTGATTTAAGTTAGCTTATAGTCTTCTAAAACTGAACCTTCAAGGCAGCTTTTGGGGAATTAGAACCCTAGAAGGCAATAACTGTGATTTACTCTTTTCCTATTGTTCTGAATTCCAAATATGTTCACAGGGTTATGCAGAATTCGGGATTTAAACCTTCAGGTGTGTTGAAAGGATTTAAACCTTCAGGTGTGTTGAAAGAATGAATCGGACCTAACTGCTACTTTAAGAAATATAAATAACCTTAAATGGTAACAGTTTACACTTGGTCTTGTCATGATCTACAAATCTTCCACCAAAAACAGCCACTTCATTACAATCGTCTAGTGATAAATCACAATGTCCATCAGCTTCTAGATTGTGGGCTAATGGTGGTTTACTGAGTGATACTGAACAGTCGGATCCTATAAACCCAGAGTTACAGATACATTTACCTGGAATAGTAAAGTGCTGTAAGTACACTAAAAATATTAATTCATAGGGTAAATTGGCAAAGTTGTACTGGAAAAATCCTCTTATGTGTAT